GTACGGATACGTGAAAGTTTTGACAGGAGAATTGCTAACTCGGGACGAGAAAAGCTAGAGAACCGAAACTTTAGGGTAGTGTTCAATACCCAGATGCGACCAGAAGATTTCAAACTGGACTCCTTAGAACCGTTCGGGTCGCACGTACTGCCACTTGAAAGCCTTGGCAGGAAAATTGCTAGCTTGGAAGCGAAATAAGCTGAAAAGATGAAATTTTAAGGGCATGTTTCCTATTCACGTGGGACTACAGGATTTCATATTCAATTCTTCTAGTAGGGTCTTTTTCGCGCACCAGCAACTTTCCGTTTGTGGTGTCACTGAAGCCGACATCTACAGCTGACATGCCCCATAGCTTAAATTCCTGAATTTCGAAGGCCAGTATGTCAGAAGTTCTAGCTGCTCTGATTCCTTGCGATCTTGCTACAGCACAAAATAGTGCAAAAACGCATGATCGCACCTGGTCCGCCTGGTGCGTTCCAGCCTACTCATCCTTCTTAGAAATAAATTATTTTCCCGCATTTGTATAGCAAAATGTGCTATTTTGTTGCAGTTACTTTGACTGGACATTTTCTTTGTGTTTTCGTCCTTTTTCCCTCAAGAACACACCTTTACGCCATCGATGCATCTGGCAACCTTTCTGCTGTTGCCTGTATGAAAGTACGTAAACACTTCGTTTAGTGCACTTGTGATTCTGATGTTCGTTCCTCGCTTTCCTTCTTTTTTCATGCGGACAGTGTATCATACTTCTTTCCTGTTAGATATTCCTATTTTTTCACTTTTTTGCATATTCCTCCGACCTTTTCTTTCGTTTCAGTTATCACTTAACTGATAATCCATAAACACTGATTACTACTGCGAGTGTTGCTTTAGCGCTATTTCAGTGGTGTAGATTATCTTGAGTTCAACAAGTACTTTGGTTTTTTCAATGTGTGGCATGCAGAGCGTTTGGTTCTGAAAAACAGTGGATAATTGTGGCCAAATTTCTCAAAATTAATAATCCGTTGGCCATTGCCGTTGTATTGGTTCCATTTTCTCATTTTACATTTATGGAAATGAAAAGAAAGAAAAAACTGAAAAGCTCATCCATTCAAAATTTGTCGTGAATTTATCTTTTCTCCTGAATTTTCCAAAAAAAATTACTGTGCTATATGTTTTTTGTTAATTTCAATTATATATTTGGGAAGTGCTCAAAGCTTCTCTTCGAATAGTTCATAAATGTTTGGGGCACCACTGAATAAGTTATCCACAAAATATGCCACTGGATATTTTGATTAACATTAAACAAGCTATGTTTGTCTTAAATTTGAGTTTGTACTGAAGTAATTTGTGGTCCATCTGTGGTACGACAACTTAGCTGTATGCAGAGTCTTTTCAGAATATAAGATCAGTGACGAATGGAACTGACGGCATGTGCTAGAGTGAGCAGTCTGTGTTTCACTCCTTAGCTGTTAAGCAGTTACGGGTGCGAATAAGAATGTGAATCTTTAGTAGGAACTTTTATTCGCCATGTAAAGAATAAGCCATTTATTTTTTTTTTTTTTTTGGCGAGATTGTAATGAAGAATAGATTTTCAAGAAGGAAGTAGCGACAGAATAAGGGGATGAGAAGGAACGACGCATGCAAAAACTGAAAAAAAAAAAAACTTTTTGCAAAAAGAACACTTCTTTGTGATGTGATAGCGTCCGTCTGGTTTGACAAGACATGGCTGATTTGCACACTGACAGCTTCAGGCTAGCCCCAGAAAAAAAGGGCTGCTTCTCGGCTAAGGCCACTGCACAATGGCAGTTCATGAGAAGTGCCAAATTTTATTTATTGATGATGCCCAGACGTGCTCGCTCCTGAATTAGGGCACAAATGCAACATAATGGCCATGGATGATGATGACGAGGTTTTTCCAATGACTGCGTTCAGCACAAGTATACATGAGTCGCCAAATTACATCAGCGAAATGCACTTCAGAAAGCCATTGACGCCGAATGTTGCTACGATCTACTTCAGATGACTGAATAATCATTTGTTAATAATCGCCAGAATGTCTTGTAACTGTCGCGACATGAAAACTACCGATGAAACGTTTGTGGCCAGGCTGCTCTTTTACAACACAGACGCATAGGATTCTTGAGAAAACACCTCAGTGGCCGTTTTATTTGAGTTAGATTACTTTGTATTTAATCGTACGAGAAATAGAGGAAACTGAAAGCAGTCCGAGTGATAGCAAATGCCGACAGCAACCACAATCACTGACAAGGTTGTCGATGGCTTCTTCTTTCAAAATGAAGCAAGCTGTGACTGCGGCCTACTCAGTGATGCACGAAATTCAACTGATACTCTGCAAAGTGAGCAACATGTCTTGTCCCGCAACTTTTACTTGCTGCCCTGTTCTTGGTGATATCAAAAATTCACGCACACCACTTAGCGGCTAATGCACTTGCGATTGTTTCGATGTTTCAAAAGTCGCAGTGTGTGTACGTTTGTGTGTGTGTATGTATGTATGTGTGTGTGTGTGGATTTGGATGTGTGTTTGTCTGTCAGTCATTTTCAAATTCGCGGCCAGAAATGCTAGAAAGCTGAATTTTTGTGAACTTACAGACTCAAAAATGTAACATAATATATAGAATCTGCGTACTAACTCAGAACTGCAGTATCTCTAACTTCGCTGGAAATCCGGCTACTAATCTCCGACATATTGGTGCATCTTTGGGCAGAATAAGGATGTAAGCATTCCTCATCATTTATTATTCGCCTCCTTCATGATACTGCTCAAAAACTAACTAATTCTAAATTAAGATCACGGGGGTTTTTTTTTTTCTTTCACTTATTGAAGTTTCTTTCGACCCGTAGCAGAACTAATAAAAACACTTAAGTATGTGTAAATAGCAGCACTTTTTTAGTTAGGCAGCGTCAGTACTTAGGCAGAAAGCGTCGGGATTACTTTGCAAAAGTGTTGAAGGTAGGGCACAGCGTTTCTCCAATGAGTTTACATACCTGATGTAGTTCTAGTAACGAACTTTTGCATTTGTTCGAAGACCAGGAAGTAATATTCCCTCATTGCCTGACAATACATCCATGAAACTGTGTTCTTAATATTTTTTCCCTCTTTTGGCAGTTACTTTTATTGGAAAGATCATCTCAGAAACATGAATCATTAATATCTCTTGGGGAAAATGAGGCTTGTTCTCTCTCTCTTCGTAGCACTCTTGCATAAATTGTCCTCCGCTATTGAGGGTATTAGACTTTCAAACTGAGCATTGATATACATAACATTCTGATTCTAAATTAGTTCAATTCAGTTAAATCTCCGAATTTGCTCATTTCAAAGACTGCTTAATACTATTTTCTATGAAAAGCAAAAGTATTGGGGAGTGAAAAAACTATGCGAATTTCTTGCGTGCGTAGCTGTACGAACTTTTGACTGATATATGCAAAAACGCGTAAAAATTCAGAAATGATTATCCAAAAACACTGTAATTCTTCCAATCCTCGCTTTTTTTGAAACAGAGCTACAAAAATAGACCTTAGAGATTTTGTAGATCTTGCATTTTAAACACTGCTCTTGCTTTTTAAGTACCGCATTTTAAGTACCACTTCTTGCTTTTCTTCGTCTGCTGCCTTTTCGTTCTTTTCGAAATAAGGATTTTTATAGATTTAATATTTTTCGGCTTATTGCTGCTTGATCCTTATCGTATTTTTCTAGGAGTGAATTATTTGCAAGTTCTTTTTTTTGCTTTCAGCACAATTTGCCATATTTTTCCAGACATAATTTCTCACAGCGGAAGCCTTACACATCATTTTTCTCCACACTGTGTTACTTGCTGAAAATTAAAAGGACGTAAATTTGTATAAACCAACTAGTGAAAATGGATGCGGTAAAACGGGATGTGAAGAGAAAATGCATTCCGCATTTCTTGGACTTTCTTACTTCCTTTTCAAATGACCATTAAGCTATTTGCGACTTTTCTGTCAATCAGTAATTGGCTGAATAACATGTCCTTAAATCCGTAAATAAAGAGAGCAGAGCCTCACTTAGTAGTTTACTGGTCTTCTGGAAAATTATGAAGTGCAAGTAAGGGCTTTTTTACTTAATAAACATGCAGCGTCCTCTCAATATGCGTCATCACTTTATTAGATGATTTTGAGGGCATTTCCACTCCATGCCGGTTTGAGGTACCTTGTCGTCCAGACGTGCTTTTTTTCGATATTTTTGACGAGATCTTTACAGAAGCTAAGTGGCCATTAAATCATTGATCGTATGGTAGATAAGATTTTTTTCCAAAATAAACGAATGTCGCTGTGGCTGTTAGCACCAAGCTTCATTTCGAAGAGGTCCCTGTACAATTCTTTCGAAAAAAAGGGTTCGGCTTCGCTACTGGCTGAAACAGTCCCTGTGCATTTCGTTTATTCACTTCGATGGTAAATTGGTACTGGCACTTGCTGGGGACTACACCTGTCCTCAGCTTGGTTGTAAGCAACCCTCGAAAGAAGAGGCTTTTGCCAGCCTTGCCAGCAGTTATTTGCTGTTCACAGTTGCTACCGCTGACGCAACTTCTCATTGCCTCGATATTTCATAAAAAAGCGAATAATACAAAGGAATTTCTGACATTCAAATGCACTTAAAGATTTTTGCTGGATTGGAATGCTTTAAATATTTTTAAATTGATAAATTAGAAACTATTTTTTCGTGTATTATTTAGCATTTTGCATTGGAAATTCTAAATAGTGGAAAGTGCAATTCTCAATAAATTAAATCAATTTTTATTAAAAAATGAAATCCGCCAAACACTTTCAAAATAGAAAGGCTTCTTTTCCTCTTCTCCGCTTCTCTTAGTTACGCTGCTGCTTACCGTTTTTGGGATTATTCGAAGGATCTGGAGATAGTGGAAATGTGAGTCTCGATTCCCTTTCCGGTCCATAATCATTTGCAAAAAGGAGTTCCGTTCACGACATGAACAAAAATTGATACTAGTTTTTGCTTAAATAAATCTTTATAACTTTTGCAGATAATGCGTCATTCCGAGTGGAACGGTCATCATGCCCGTCCACGTCCCCATCATCACAGTAGCAAAACGACACCATCACTTTCTCCGCCATCATCAATCAGTCCAACACCCGCACCGTCGATACTTCCAGTTCGGCATGGTGAGCTTCCCAAATCCCACTGGACCTACGTTACACAACCGTACGGTGATGGTGGTGAATGTTCGAGCAGTAGTGCTGCAACAACTGGTTCGCAACTGCATCGAGCTGCTGCTGCTATAGGTGCAACCACATCAAAACCAATTAGTATCCGGCACAACGATTTGGATTGTACCACCGGAAGTTCAAGCCTCACATCCACCGCTACATTCAGCGACAATGCACATCGCCGACTTATTGGTTTACCATCAATCACAACGACAAGTACATTTTTGGAAAAAATTTTTTTTCCTTGAAATTTGAAGCTATCACTCATCCATTTCCGATTCCTGCCCGCTCTCGCTCTCCGAGGACTCCAAAAACCCACCACTGCTGGGCAAACACAAAGAAAAAAGACTTTGTGAATTCTCAAAATCGAAAGCAGCATGTATTCAGCTGCTGATATCGCAGTAGGACGATTGATACCCGATGGCCAGGAGGAATGGGAAGAAAAATTCGTTTTCTGCAATCGGCTCACCCATGCACAACTGTAGCAATATAATTTGCTTGCCGGAAACCTACATAAATCTCTGAATCTTTCAAATCTTTTACAATAATACTTCATGTCAAACAAACGATGAGTACTTATTTAAGATACACAACCCAAGATCGAAGAACCTGGAATAGGTACGCCCAACATGTGGAATCATCGCAGTAACACAATATCACTAACTTAAGACATCCACACCAATTGCCCGGGCGGTTCTGGTATTTCTGGTACTTCAGCGATGCTATCTCTTGGCCACTAAAAAGACAGATACAAAAAGTTTCAGCCCTTATCCACTGAAAAAATCATGACTAGGAAGCGCTACGAATTTCCCGGAAACTGCCGACATCCCCTTCCTGCAAATCAGATTAGACAAGCACAGGCACAGACATGCACACACACTAAAATGGCACTTTGGATTTCCTCGTGCTGCCAACTCGTCTATTTTTGTGGCCCTCAAAATATAACGTACTTCGACTATGTTTTGTTCGTAATGTTTTGGTGACAACAAGCAAATGGACACATTGAACAAATGGAGTTTTCGTAATTCAAAAGTAATGCCTTGTTTACGCTCGCATAGGCAGAGCAAGCGGACAAGAGCCTGTTTTTTTCCACGAGGAGCGAATTTGTTGTTTTGTTTTTTCAACAAAAACGAGTCATTTTTCGATATTTTAATTCACTTTTTATGCGTTTTTTGCAGCAATGCAATGCGAAAAACGCATATTGACGAGAGGTTGTC